TCTCCTTCTGCCACATACTTTTTGCTGAACCTTTCTCGCTCAACCTTGATCGCCAACATTTGCTCAGGTGAGCCATGGCTGTCCGTATTTCCCCATGGCACTGCAAGCAAAAAAAAAAAAAAAAAAAAAACAAAAAAACCTCCCGAAGAGCCCGGATACGTTCTCGGAAGCTGAGGCTGTATTCGTTTGGTCTGCCTCGCCAAGGTAATTCTCCGGAGGTTTTCGATAATGCCGTGTCCGCTCATGAGCCGATTCCGTCTGGTATGATGAGCTCACCCTCACGTGGCCAGCTTCCGCTTCCGCTCATGGTGCCTCGCCCTCATGGAAGGGACGCAGTCGCGGCTGCTCGCCGTCGCGTCACGAGCACCCAACTGATCAAAAGTACAGCGCGGATGAAATCCACGCCTGAATCTTGTCTTTCTCAGTTTCGCACTCCGTTCCAACGCCGAAGCTCCGTACTCGGCTCTCCGTCCCAGGCTGACCCCCGTAGCAACCCGCCCACAACACTTTGAAAGGCCGCAAACCCTCTTTATCCACCCGGACCCCCGGTCCTTTCCCGTATGACTTTCTCTTTCGTAAAGTACCGCCCGGCACACACCTCCGACGTCAAACTTCAAGCTCCCCTTCGTCATATCCATGGACGAACAACTCTGGACGATCCGGAGTAGGGATACGGCCTTTGTCCCAACTCTCCTCAATATAGCGTTTGACATTGCATTATATGCATTGATCCCGCGCTTGTCTGATACTTTCTACTGGCCCCCATCTGGCCAGCTCGACGAACGCCACGCCAATGCAAACATTGTTTGTGGTTCGCCCGCCCTCCCATTCGGCTGCTTCGGAACTTTCCCTGCACCTTTGCATTAGTGATCGACCGTAGTTCAGTCTCAGATGCCAAACTCGTCTCTTCACCATCCATGCGGCAAAAATCCTCATGCTCGTCTCTACCAAACCTCGTTGCTCCTTTCCTTAACCTTCACTCTCACAGCAGGCCGTAGTCGGCTTCACGTGAGATGCAGATTGTGAGAGAAGGCACCGTTGAGGTTTTCGTGGTATGCACGATACCTTAATGCTACGAGAAGCTTGTAAGGACATCCTGATGTCATACCACGGTGCAGCACCCAGTGAGAAAAGGCAGTGCGCAAACAATCTGCCAATTCCGTCAGTCACAGCCGGTATCAAGAAACAGATGGAAGAAGAGAGGGATTGCCTGTCATCTGGCAACCACACTCGTACCTTTGGTAGAAACCCATGCCAGGTATATAGTCGTTGTAGTTCCAGCTCAAACATCTGTCGCGTCCGAGGATTTTGTTTATCCCGGATCCATGACTGCCGGCTAGCATCGACGGTGCTTCCCCAGATCATCATCTGCCCTATCCGCCGGGAACCAGGAGCCTCAAGACTCAGCACGGGGTCGGCAGACACCTGATTCACGCTCTCCAAACCTATCTAAAGTTAGCGAGACACAGTCTTCCCTGACAAACGTTGGACATGATTCCTGTCTTCGTTCATGCCATTCTATTTGCAAACTTTCCGCTGAATTTTCTCCTACACCCCACAAACCCTCCTGTTCCTTTTGCCATGTAGGCTCTTTACCTTTATCCCATTGTCAGAAGATCAGGCACCGAGAACGAGACATCACCCTGTCGTCGAGATCGAGTCACGTCGCCGAAGCGGACCCTGCGCAATGAAATCATTAACACAAACGGTATCGTGATGTCTTATGCATGTACTAAGGAGTATTCTGACCTGATAGCCAGCAGAAAGTTCACAATGCGTACATGGCGTTTCCTCGCTAGAGGAGTCTTCGACAATACCTCATAATGCAATTGGTAATCCTGGCTTCAAGACTTGACTGCAGCTCTTGCCTGTCCCGCGGTAAATTCTGTAGCAAGCGCTGGTAGAACAGAAGATCGACTAGCTCGCAAGGCCGTTTAGAATCATCTGACCAAGATGACCGTTGGGCCTGATATGGATAGTGTTCAAAAGCCATCTGGTTTCGAATGCTGATACCAGGCCAGAAAGCATTGTGCGCAAAGACGTGGCTCGGGAAGCAGCCGGTCACAGAAAATTAGGCGTTCTCATGCCGCCGGGTCCGACTCGGAGACTTCCTCACCGTGGAAGACGCCATTCGATGGTTATACCTAGCAAGCCAGGTTCGGATTTTCAAAGACAGGAAACGAACTCATCCACGAGGCGGGTTCATCTGAAGATCTGCCGAAAGGAGGAGAAAGCAACGAGGTGTCGAGAAATACGATGGACTTAGACACCGTCCGATATTGATGATACAGATTGGGTCTGGTCCTTAATGACACCGTTGAGCCACCGGTTTCGCACACAGGGCATCCTACTCGAAAGAGGAAAAAGCATCGAAACTTCCTATTACTGCATAGACCCCCCACTGATGAGTTTGCTGATCAGTCCAAGACCCTCATCTCTCCGTCGACAGAAAATGGGCCCATCTCCACCTACCGCTCGTGGAACCTTGACGCGCGAGTTCGTCCCATTTGCGTATCCGGACTTGAGCTGGGGAATGCTGCACAGAAGAAACGGGGTTTGTCTGCAAGTAGCCACGCGACCATCTGAATGGGCCTTTCACAAGAACTCCAAAGCGCGGCAAAGATGGCGCCGAGATGGCGCTTCGCTTCTGTCAGATCTCTTCCATGTCTTCTAGGTCGTCCAGGACCGGCCAGTCGCCAACTTCTACCCGCTCGGGCCTCACAAAGACTCCATGCTTCAGAGTCGATTCCTCGCCCCAATACCGCGTTCCGGCAATGCTGCCGTCGTTCTTGCCAACGGGTTCATCAAGATGAACTCCGATCCAAGGACCCAGACCGCCAGGGATTTCTTTGACATCACCAACATGCCGGACAGTTCCTCTCCGAGAATCTTCTCCGCCCACACGGCATCGCTTACCAACTTGGATACCCTTTTGCTCGATTTCTTGCTGCAGAGCATCAATCTTGGCCTGCTCGTGGCTTGGCGCGTCGGGGTCGAAGCGACCAAGCTTCTGGGCCTTCTTCCAGGCCAGCACAGAGTCGGACTTTTTGGCGTACTCCTCCTCTGGCATAACGTACTTCTCAACTCCCGAAGTATCGGTGAAATTCGGGCGAGCTCCCGCTGGCCGAGTGTCAACTACCTGGATATGGAACGATCAGTCACAGGGTTTCTGGAATCGAGCACGGATAGCTGTTTGCAGCGAGCTGTAAGTCCCACTGCCAGAGACTGCGAGGCTCACGTACTCACGTGCCATAAGACTACGGGAGGCAGGGGTCATGATCTCAGCGATAACAGGTGCAGACCAGCCTCACAGGTCCGGCTTTGGCGTTGTGATCATGAAAAGGAGAAGCATGCTCGAAAGTCGACCGAGACGATGAGCTGCGTGGCATGTTTAGACGGTTATGGGGGTTACTTACATGCAGCTCGGCATATGGTGCCAGGGGGAAAGCTGTCAAATATGCGCTGTCCTCATCGGATGCTTCAATTGGAACAGTGGCCGAGGCTGTTTTGAGGCTGATTCTCTGGGACGAGGGCGGGATACCGGTAATGGGTTCCAGCTTGGACCTCAGCTGGGTGATGGTCCATGATGGGGTGATGCGGCGCTCTGACGAGGAGTTGTCGGAAATGACATGCAGAGGAACATCGGCCATGGCGGGCGACTTGGGCTGCTTCCTGGGGCCGAATGGAAAGAACTCCGGGCTAGACTACGAGGAACACGTGGGGCCTCGTCGAGCTTGTTGGGTGTATGGCGTTCTGCAGAGGTGAGATAGACGAGGGAGTTTTGGTCGGAAGACGTTGACGAGCGGCGAAAGGACGATGACCACAGGGTTCTGGAACCGAATAGATTAGGTACCAACCGGGCAATTTCCTCTTGGCCGAGGAGGGGGCTGCACAGTAGGGCTGGATGGGAACGAACCCGTTAGATGCAAGTCAGATGCACGACCCAGTGGCTTTTGGGTTGCTGAGTATCGGCGTACCTAGTAGCGGGGTGAACGGGCGTGCACGATAGCGTAGTGCGTCGGTAGACTGCCCGGTGACGTTGATTGAGGTTGCAAATGGGTGTTCTGTTCGGTCAGGTTCAGGCTTCAAGAGTTGAGGTGCGGTCAAGAGAAGTTCACTCGTCGTGTGTGCCTGGACTGAAAATGAGGTGGGTGAAATCCGATCAAGAACGAACGTGGAGGCGGTTCAAGCCTCACTTACCAGGAAGTGGGTAACGGAGGGGGTGTGTGACTAGCGCCTGACGGCATTGGTGTGGACGTCCAGTCTCAACCCCACCAGCCAGCGAAGTCTCCAGCCACAGATGGTACGTATCCTTGTGTAACCCCTCCTCCTCCTCCTCCTCCTCCTCCTCCTCCGGTGCCCGTCCTTAAGCACCCAAGATACTGCGAGAAGGTACCTCCATTCGTAGTTTGTACTCAAGCAGTCAAGCTCCCTCCCCCAATCCCCCAATCGAACCAAGGGAAAGGGAAGGATCATCTGTACCTCGCGAATAGGTTCCTCTCCTTCTTCGACTGGTGAGTTGTCAACCCATCCGCCACATCCTTTCTTGTCGGTATTTCCCCCCCATTCAACCACCGTCACGTCTTCGCCCAACCTCTGTTCGCTCACCGCCACATGAGAACAGCAAGGCCAGACTTGAAAACAGGATTCCCAGTCTTTCAATACGCATCACCAGCCGTCGTTGGGCATCCCTGGGCAAGCCTGACAGCTTCGTACCAAGCATGGCGACAGTTCCAACTAGGCCACGAAGTCGGGACATCCACGACACGACATAACGAAGAGACATGCCAACCCGGGTCTCCAGTCAAAGCTGAACCTTGACGCAGAAATAAGAATCTTGCTTTGTGACATTGTCATACAAAATCAGGTGCAGCCGTCCGAGACCGCTTCAGACAAGTTTAACCTTCGGCCGGTGGGAACAATGCCATTGATCATGATTGGCGAGCCGCCGTTTGCAGTCGTCAATTAATTACGGGAACCGTTTGGTCGGGAAGCACAACATGGCAACAGCGGCATCGATGCAGTCAAACGCCAGATTTCGCGCATGCAAGGCTCCGTCTCGTCTGGTCCGCTCCGGTCTAGCCCACGGCCTAATTCTACCCAGTGTTACTTATCAGGACATCACTGCAGCCATTATCGCCCCGACAAACGGACTTGATGTACACGCAACGGCTCAGAAGAAGCCAAGTCATGGTGTGTGGGATCGGAAAAAGGCATTACATACCTTTGTCAGCCCCTCGAAGACAATCGAGTAAGATAGCCTCTCGCCATCTCTCTTGTGTATGCAGACACCATAGTGAGCATCAGGGTGCGTGCAGGGCCACCAGCACCGCGAGGATCTGGCCACCGGTGAGGGACAACACAAACGGACATGATGAAACATCCATAATCATGTTCGTTGCAGAATCATGATAACCCACACACACCTGCCCGCGCACATACACACAACCTTCTCAGGTTCAATCTGGTTAGCCGGAGCGGGCATGGGACACTTGCTCGCACGCGGCTGATGACAAGGCGCGGCAGAGAGCCTTCGACTCGGGATGGACAACCCCATTGACACACACACACACACACACACACACATACACACACAAAGCGCTTTCTTTTCGAGAACAACCCTTGCCCTCCCTGATGAAGGCAAGATTCGTTTTCTATGCCTATATCCTATGGTCACAAATCAATTTTCCGCGTCCGAACTCGACGAGAGTGCAATGCGATCATCATTAACATCGCGTTTTATTACTCCTAACGAGACTATTGGAAACCACTGCGAAAAAGAAGAAACGACAGGCGGAAGGCCCAACAAATCGAGTCTGTCAACCCGCGTGTCATCAACAGCGTCTTCGGGAGCTGAAATGCTGGATTCTGACGGCATTGACAACCGCTGGCCAAGGACGATGTTGAGCGTTTGAGCCGTCACGGACAAACTACCTCCACTACACGCTAGATCTATCCCTGCTACCCGATCCGCCAGTGGGCTGCCGCTATGCCCAAGAAAGATCCGGTTCTGCAATGCTGGTTGCCGTTCACCGCCACGTTGGGTTTTGTTTGTGTCACCGACAATCTGGTGCTCACGTCGAATCCTTTTCGAGGCGGTAGGAATCATCTACTGCATGAAGACAAGGGAACAATGAGCAACTTCGTTCTGACCGCAAGCCCAACGACGACATCTAGGCGAAGGGTGGTAGGGACAGAAGGAGTGCACATATCATGAGAGCAGCTTTTCTGCCCCGGGATAGCCTGAGCTTCACCAAACACTCACAACCCAACGCTGGACGATGGGCTACCTACCCGTCCACCTTTTGTGTAGCCTATGCCCATCCATCTGTTCCTCCTCGCAGATCGCTTCATGACGTCGGCATCAGTCATGGCGCGGGGACAACCAGAAAGGCAGCTCCGGGACAGGGATCTCCACAGGCGCATAGCCAGCGCAGCACTTCTGGCTATATCACGCTCTGCTAAGGAGTCCGGAAGACGTACCGACTGCAAAGATGGAAGTCCCCTCGCCCGTTGTCACCCTTGCCCTTGTTTCCAATCTATTGCCGGGCCACCATGGGGGCTAGGGAGCACGATGTGCCTGCCGTGCCAGGTATCTGTAGCATGTCTCGCCTTTTGTGATGGGATGAGAACCCGCAAGGCTGGGTTCCCCCCGAGACGACCTCCTGCTGAGCAAAGCCACGATGCAAGGCCAGCAAACGAATGAGAATTTTTTTGGAAGGGGGGCAGCGAGAGTGTTTCCTAATTAAAGTCCAATGACAGTATCCCTTTTGGACGTCAGCCCTGGAGTGGAATGCAACCCCAGCCAAAAGGTGCCTGGTAGGCTGGCGGGCGGCTACTAATTACGTCGAGGGCCATTTAATAGGCTCTCGAGTCTCAGTGCCACCAGGGCGGGAATCGACGTACATGAGCTTCAGCTCACTTGACTTGCTTAGTCGTGCGAAAGAACGACGACGACGGCTGTGCGACATCTCCGCAGCACTCGCGTACGGCCGACAGAACAGTTATCAGGATTGCAACAACAGGCGCCGCAAGCCGTGGTCGAGCGGACAGATATACAATAGCGTTGTGGTGTCTCTACGATCTCGGGTTCGGTTACATTGTGTCGTGAGCAAACGCAGCAACAGACGATGACACGTGCGTAAAACAGCGCCGTTTTCTTCCCATGTTGCTGTGGGCGTTCGGACAACGACATGACAAACATGCCGAGCGGGTGTCGGACCATTTCCATCACTTGTCCTTCTCCCTATGCGGAAGGGTCTGATTATTAGCAAGTTTCCCTGGTTCCCTTGTTCCGCATGCCGTGTAGAGCCCTGGTCCTTGATCGAGAGAATCTGGGCGCGGAGCTGGATAGCTGGCCGAGGCCCCCGGCCTGCACACTAAGCCGCCAGCCGCATGTATGTCATCTACCGAACGATACGTAAGGGCCACAGCGGAGGGTAAGGCAATCCGACGTCAGTGGCATCAGTCTCGTTAGACTTGCTCACCGCAAGCTATGAATATCGCAATGTTGCTGCTGAAAAAGGGCAAGGTGCGCTACCGTACCCGAGTCAAGAAGATCCAAATCTCAATGCCAGATCAAGGCGGCGGTGAGCAGTTCTGTCGGACGTTGTACTACGTAAAATATGGCCTCCAGACGGTGTGTCCTGGTACATTGATAGTTGGAGACGGTGCTGGTGTCTGGTACGTTAGACTAGAATCAAAGGAACTAGAATCAAAGGACAGCCCGAGTCGACCTCGGGGCATCCCACCACACCCAATTGCCAGCTGACCGACACGTATCCAAACTCCTCGAACTATTTTCTCGAGCAGATTGGGTGCCAGCAATCTACTTTGGGCACGAGACTAAGTCCTAACCTAGGTAGCCAGAGTTAGCGTCTGCATCTTGGACTGTAGCCTCCCGAATCTAAGGTTAGGTAGTCAGATTGCGTAGTGCTTCACAGCCCTGAGAAGCCTCAACTTAGTCAAACTTTGTACCTGACCTGGGCAGGTGGTATCGGCAGACCGTACTTGGAGGGGAAACAAGACATTAGGGCGCTGGCGGGAGTTGTTCATTGCGCGTCGGACTAAGGTAATGTAGATAGTAGATGCCTCCCCACGTTGGGGTGTCCATTGCACGGACGGCCCTTTGCCAGTCTCGTACCTCGTCCCAAGGCTAGACTAAGGTTGCAAAGAAATTCCCCTAGCGCGATTGCCTTAGCAGGCCGTCGTCAGCAATGGAACGCCCGGAAGAAGCAAAGAACGGCGGCCCAAGGGTTGCGAAATGCGAAATGAGAAAAGGAGCATCCAAAGCTCTAGCACGGTGTCCAGGTGCCCTGCATAGAAGCAAGAGACATATTCCCAGGTACGTGCCCATCATGTAGAGGGGTACCTCGGAGGCTAGAGGAAACAGTAAGTGCGAGTAAGTTAAGGTTACAAGCCGGCCAACTTTCCTGGGTACCCTACGCAGACTTGGCTGTACGGCAGGTAGCAGATGGAGAGAAGCTACCTTATTCCGTCATATTAGTTCAATTAGGGAAAGAGAGACGAATAAGAAAAGAACAACTCGACAGAAGATCGGAAAGAGGGAAGGAGAGCGAGGAACCTCAGGCATACCTTACTTAGGTAGTCCTGTGGTCAGCATCTTGCCTCAATCTCAGTCTCAATGCTCCCAGTCATCCGAGGGCAACTAACCTTACGTCTCCCATCTCAACGCACAGCGGTCTACATGCTGGATGCCGTTCCGATTTGCTCAATGTCTCTTCCCAAGAATACACAATCATTCTCTGTACGACGGCGCCATCTCTTCTCGCCCGCAGCCTAATGTCACCAAACGGAGTCACTGTTTACTTCTTCACTTATCCTGCTGGCCATTAGTTGCTCCTTTATGTACCGCCCCGTCGTCATGTCAGGCACCGATGCCGTGGACACCGGTCCAGCTACGACACCGGACCCCCGAGACCCCTGGGAGACAGTAGACAAGCTACGAACAGCCCAACCAAGCCATGTGTGGCTTGACTGGACGCTAAAGACGACGTCGTGGTCGCCTCATTGCCGTGGAAGGTGGACAACACCGATGGCGCTGGTGCGGCAAGGGAAAAAGAAAAGGAACTACTACCGCTACTACTACAACCACCATACTATAGCACACAACGATGGCCAAGGATGCGACTGCGACGACCCCGACCAAAAGAGGGCTGCTTGAAAGCCGCTAGCCAGCAAAGCAGCGAGCAAGCATGCCCCAAGTTGCATGGCGATCATGGTTCATGGCAACTGATGCAGCCAGGCCACAAGCTCATACTTGGCCTGTCCGTCGCAGTGAAAACAGTACCGCCCTGGTCCTGGGAGGCTTTGCTGGACGGACGCTGCACGCTGGGCTGCGCTGCATATCTGACCGCCAGTTCATCATCAGACCAAGGCAAGGGCCAAGCCGAGCACCAGCACCAGCACCAGAATCAGCGAGGCAAGGCAAGGCAAGGCAAAGGAGCGGTTGACCAGACGGAAAGGGAGGCATTCCCAACACGAGACAAGACAGACTTTGCGAAGGCTGTTCCTGGCTCGCCCTCATGGATATGGCCGTGGGACATTGGTAGCCGGGCATGAAGGGCATTGATCAAATGTTTCTCAGCACAACCTAGCCCCAGCACATCTGCGGGTAGTCAACCGCCCTCGACGACTCGTTCGGCAGTGGCGCATTGTCACGGCCGCCGTTGGCTGTCCGGCCTCGTCGAGACAAGCCTCATCTTACATTCATTGTGTCGACCGCACAGACATCAGGCTTGCTGTAACTCTGCTTCGCTCTTGTTCTCCCGCTGCCGTTGCCGTTGCCGCTGCCAGATGCAGAGCACAGCACTGCGCTATACTGCCGGCTCTTTATTTTCAGACTGCTCAGCTCATCAAATTGATCCGCGCCATTGACTTGTCAATTGCACTAGCACTAGCCGCGGAAGGGAGCCGCCCAAGACAGTACAAGGCACACATGCAGCCTGCGTTTGCTTGCTCTCACAGACCCCCGTTGAACCCGTTAGGATCGGCGAACAGCATAAGCACAGGTTCAACAAGTCGAAAATGCGCACAGGCAAAGGTGGAGGCTGTCCCCCCCCCCCCCAAATCAGAGGAGACGGGACCAGGGTAAGCCACAGTTGAGAGCAGTTCCTTCAAGTGTGCCCGGCCAAGCATCGGAACCCTCGTTGTCCCTCTTCGGCCGACCCATCCCTCCCATCAGTTGGGTTCCTCCTCCGGTGTTCCAGTCTCCGATCCTCCAGACGCCTCTTAGTTTCTCGCCTGCTCGTTGCTCAACTATGCGCGCCGTCATACTTTCGCGTTTGACTTCTACGCGTGCCGGAGTCGGGGGGGGCCCAACCAACCATGGGTTCAACTCTACGAGGCTAACCGCTGCCTCCGAAGTGTCTGTCATAAGTAGCGGTTTGCGAGACCTTCCCTATCAACATATCTCCTCGCCAGCTGTCTGCCTAGGAGAGTCAGCCGGCACAAAGAGGGTCCCATGAAGCGGGAGCCCATCTACTACAACCCACCAGCATGCGCATGTGCGAAGTCCACTCGACTCTTCATTGCATCAGCAACCGCAGGTTTCAAACATGGGGTCCACAGCACCCGTATGCGGTTTCGTGACAAACTGCTGCCCACCACATTCCGCCCTCTCCACGCTTGTCTTGCCCTAAACACACGCTCACTCTGTCGGGGACCCTAGGATTATGGGCCATGCACACTTGACGCCCTCTCGAATTTCCCGCCCTCTTCAACCAGATTCCCACCAGCCTCCAATTTGAACCGATGCTCTGCGAGTCTGAGAGGGAGCTGTGACCAGGTGTGGTCATCATACACGGACACGAACCAACCCTTATCCAAGCAATCCCTATGACCAGCGTTTCCTGGATCCAGCCTTTCGGAGAAGCTGTCATCCAGCTTGCTCCATTGACTCTGGCTTTGACACCGCATTAAACGCGCTGATCCAGACGTACCACGGGTTGCCCATGGCCTGTTCTACCCAAGTACCCGAGAAGCATCATGCAAGAATTCGTGGCCATGCCATTTTAGCACCTAGCTTGGTAGCCGGACATTCGACCCAGTACTTGGAATTCCATTCTACTCTTTCTCTTTTTTTTTTTTCTTTCTTTTCTTCCTCTTCTAACCTCTGCCCTCTTTACGACAATGACCCCTCATGACCGGAGCTTCAATCTAGGGTGTCGACATACGGGAGAACACCAGCCCCAGGCCAGACGCTAGACAGGGCATATTGCAGAGGGGTGTGTCTTGAAAAGAAAGCATGGCAGCCACCTGGTGTCTGTGAGCGCGCTGCGGGAAGGGGGGCGTGTGTCTTTCAAACATGTGCTCGAAGTTCCCCATCCATGTCGGTTCCCAAACTATGCCTAGGTGAAAGTAGCCCTTCATGAGCCTTATTCGACAACCTCCACCGCATCGCATTCTTCAATGAGGGCAGGGCAACAGACGGACTGGCCCAGGCAAGGGACGGACGGCACCAACAAGATCCCATCATCTGCCACTGGTCATTCCCTACCTATATGCGAGCTTGACATATAACTTCTGCCCTATTACTACGTTCACTGCTCGCTGCCGGTTGTTGCTGCTCGCGCTGGTGTTGTTTTGTAAAAGCTAACCAGCATATGCCCTTGCCAAACACACACATCCTCACACACCCTCTTCACGCGCGCACACACGCACACTTCCCATCCGTACCCAAACCTCGTCTTTCTCGTCGTCTCTTCCTTCTCCACAGCCGCGGTGGCTCTCACACACACTCTCTCACTCCCTCTCCTTCTTGTTCGCTGCTGCTGCTAGGCTCGTCACTGTCGTCCTGGGTCTCAACTTCTCTCCTCCCACGCCCTTATACACACCCCTCCCATACTCCGTCCCACTCCCCTCGCGTTTCTTTTTCGATGACTTTCCTCTCGTCAGTTTAAGAGTCTTTTGGGCCTGTCACTTTGTTAATCAGACCCCGGCTTCCGTCCCCCACTTCGTCCTCCACCTCTTCAACCCATCACCGTCCCTCAAACTACCACTTTCTCGGTCCATTTTAATTCTTTTCTCTTCCATTCACAAACTGCATCACCGCAAGTTCCCGACGTAGACCGGCTTGTACCTTGTTTCCGTGGCCTCTACCGACTTTCCGTAGGAGAACGATGACTCTGGCAAAGCTTCGCTTTCTGATGAAGACTTCTAGCAGCCTAGTTTGACCAACGTATACTTACGCCGCCGCCCTCTTTTTGCTGTCCGCCCGCCCGCCTGCCTGCGTCGACACTGAGCGAGCTCAATTTCCGATCATTGGTTGCTGGCTTCTCTGACTGGCCCAATCATGTTGATGACTTCCAACTTGCAAGCTACGCCGCCATCTTGATCTAAAACCAGGTCCCTTTTTCCTTTTCAGATCATTCCCCCCTTTTGCCTACCCACCAGGATTAAACGGAACGCCTTTTCCTCTCTCACCAACTTCGCGATCGAAACCATCCATTGTTCAGATACGGCAGAATCAGAGAACTTTGTTGCCCTCACCACTTCCAGCAACGGGGCCAGCGTCACCGATCTCCACCGCTCTCAACCTGTGATCCTACTCTAACCCACCTCTGCCGTAATTCCCAACGAGTAGACTGCCCTGAACTTTACGTTACGCGCGAAGCGAAGAGAACTTTCAACGACCACCGAACAACCGTCCCCATTACGAAACTGGCCGGGATATCTTACCGACCTTCAAACCTTTCAAGTCCTTCAGTAACTGCCCTTCTTGGGTGGTGTCGAGAAAACCGAAAAGCTGGCGCGCGTCTATCGCGCCCATGACACAAGACCGTATCCAACCTACCTAGGCGGCCAAACCGTCACCGTGGATATCGCGTCTCTCCTAAAGGCTCCCGACTCAGATGAGTCCTCCACCGCTCCGCCTCAGCATACCCGATCTTCGTCAGACCCGTCCGCAACCGCAACCACGGCGGCCACAGCGCCTGTCAGCGGGCTACCTCCGTATGGCCCGCCTCCCGTAGCACCGGGCCTGGCTGTGAGCGGCAAGCGTGCCATGCCACCGCACGTAGCGGAGTCTCCGGCCAAGAAGCAGAGCAAGTGGTCGCCGGAGGAAGATGCCTTGATCATCGAACTTCGGGGGAGCGGGATGAAGTGGGAGGACATCTCAAAACGTCTACCGGGAAGAAGTGCCATCAGTTGTCGACTTCACTACCAGAACTACCTCGAGAGGCGGAGCGAGTGGGATGAGGAGCGCAAGAACAAGCTTGCACGGTTGTACGAGAGGTACGATTTGATCACTATAGCATCGAAACCACTCTCTATTCGTTCCGCTTGTATTGAAAGGACGAAAACTGACATGTCAAATCAGGTTCAAACCGGAGATGTGGGCAAAGGTTGCGGAGGAGATGGCCGTTCCTTGGCGAGCCGCAGAGGCCATGCACTGGCAGCTTGGCGAAGCGGACATGGCTCGACGGGCCGGCGTTGTGCCCTTTTCTTTGACAGCAGTCAACGTCGACCAGCCTGGCGGTGGCCACCGGCACTCTCCTTCTCGGGGGCACATGCACACCCAGTCCCAGCCTAGCCTACCCCGGGACATCGGTGGACCTTCCCCTCGATACAGCCGACCACCACCACCCGGTATATCACCGATCCCCGGCGGACGAGTCATTGCCGCTCGACGCGAGAGCGTTCCTGGCAGGCCGTTGATGGGCCCGGACCCGAATGAGATGGCGGCTATGGGGCCAGGAGGCCCTGGTTTGGCTCCGATCCAGGGGCTTCCGCCAGGCCGAGGCGGAGGCATGCTTCCAGGCGTTGCCGAACTGACTACCGGTGTCAGCCCCTACAGCACCCCAGCATATGCGATGGGCGGCATGCCTACGGCAAGCCCCGTGCCAAGCGCGAGGGCCAGCCCGGGACCGCTGCTTCCAGCTCTCCACTACCCACCGCCCCACGAGCAAGCCGGTGCGAAGCGACGAGCCAGTCCAGGCACAGAGATGATGGGCTCAAGGGAAACGAGCCGACGACGGCACATGGATCCCCGCCAGGAGGAGATGGATCGGAGACGCGTGGCGTGACTGTGAAGGCAAGGTGAAAGCAAGGTGAAAGCGGTGATGGCGCGGCGAACTTTGGAGTTGGGAACAAAATTCTTTCTGAGGGGGGACGACAATGAATCGCCTCCCCCCTTTTGATTTTTCATGAGAGCATGGGAAACCTCCGAGGATTTGTTTTTTCGTCCAACGTGTGCGGAGGGCACGACACACGGCACGGGAACAGCATGTTGCATCGGGATTGGAGCAAGATTTTGTCTCATTTTTCTTAACTTCTCATACACTTAACATCGTTACCACTCGGGGGTTGATGCTATCTCTCTCCTGGAAAAAAGCTTCCCTTGCGTTGGCAACGATCTCCTCACGGCCACGTCTTCTTCTTCGTGTCATTTTACTTTTTTCCTCCCATCTTTTAACCTTTTTTTCTCTCTCTTCATTCTCTTCCCCCTCTCCAAACTTGCCCTTAGTGGTCATTTCTCAGCTGGCGGCGCGCGGGTGTGCGTTGTGTTGCGAAGGAGGGGAAACAAAAACAAATCTTTTTTTTTTTTTTTGCCGTTGGGTTTTTACGGTACCCGGCAGGTGAGGGGTAGGGACGGGGCATCGGATCGGAATCATTTCATGTCCACACAAAAAAATCACGATGATTGTTGTTGTTGGGTAGGCAAAGGTGTTTCTAAGAGTGGTGGGATGGAGAGAGAGAGGAGGGAGAGTATGTCTATGAGCTTGTGTTGGTTTCTTCTGTATGTATTGTTCTGGACAGAGATGTGAGAGACGAGGAGAGGGAAAGACCGAATGTAGTGGAAGCGGCGAAGAGTAAACGAAATACGTCACTTGACGAAGAGATGGATTATGGTCATGATAGAATTGCAAGGTCTCTAGATCACATTTTCTTTTTTTGGCTTGCCTCTATTGGTGTCTACGTGATATGCCACGCTCCCTTTTTTTTTTTTGGTTCCTCTCATGCTTTTGCCGCTCTTGGCTATCTACCCAGGTCAACTTCATGAGTCCCGACAGAAGATGGCCCACCAGTTATCCCTCTCATACCCGCTCTCAAGCACCCTGCCCCCAACCTCGACCACATCCTCCTCAAGCTCGCCCTCGCGGTAGAGATGGTAATACCTCTGGAACGTCTCATCCTTGGCGGGTTCGGCGGTGGCGGCGGCGGCGGCTTGCGTCTGTTCTTGCCCCTGCTCCTGCACTTTGCCCTCGGGTTTCTCCTTCTTGCCCTTTGTGACCCACGACACGAGCTGGTCCTGCGCGGCGCCGGCGTCCCACCCGCGCCGGCTATTACCTTGCTCCAGGGCCCAGACCATGACGAGGGCCTTGCCGCTGCCGGGCCGGACGGCGGTGAGGAGGGCTGCGACGGCGGCGCGGCGGCGTTCGCGGGTGGACATGTGGTGGATTACGGCGATGGAGATGGCGAAATCGAAGGCGGAGGAGCGGTAGGGGAGGGCTAGGGAGTCTGCTACGAGAACCTGGTTCTTTGGTGCTGGTGGTGGTGCTGGGGCTGGTGCCACTGGCGCCGGGGATACGTCTGCAGCCTTCTTGTTGCTACCGCCCTTATTCTTCTTCTTGGGGCCCACAGAGGCATCAAAGTGCGGCGGCTGGTAGCTCCGCGCCAGCGAGACGAGGTTGGCGCTCCGGTCCGAGGCGACGATGAAGAGGGAGGGGTTGACGCCAATGTACTTTCCGTTGCCGCAGCCTGCGTCGAGGCCGACGGAGCCGGGCGGGAGGGAGAGTAGGAAGGCGGCGACGAGGGGCCAGGGCTTGTAGCGGGTTGAGGAGAAGTGCGGGGCGATGGCCTCGTAGACTGTGTGGACGTGGCGGGACTCGTAGGCTGCTGCTGTGTCGTTGTCTTCGTCCTCTGCTGGAGGCGGGGTCGTTGGCGTTGGGTCCTCGGTCTCTTGGGATGCGATGGCGGTGGTGGTGGTGGTGGTGGTGGTGATGGTTGAGGCGGAAGGAGGGTCCGGCGAACGGGGATCGGCGGGCACGGCCGGGTGGCCGGGGCCGGGTTGGGGGCCGGATGAGACGGTCATGGTTGATGTTGCGGGAAGGGGTGTGTGTGTGTGTGTGTGTGTGAGTGCTTGGGTGCTTGTGTGTGGCGCAAGTTGGGGAGACGTTGACTCTCAGTCTCACACCATAAGGCAGCTTATTTCCTTTCCTGGGGAGCTTAGGTTGGGACCCTTGTATCCGTACTCTGGCAAGCCTGCAAGAACGGCTCTTTTCACCCCTTGCTTAGGTCCTTCTATATCCGTACGAAGTAAAGAGCGAAGGAGTTTTGGTCGATCAGGGGGTCGATTCTTGCGAGTGCGAGACGGGGGAAAGAGAGAGTGCAAGGGGGTAGAAGACTTCGGCAGAGGGAAGGGAGAAAAGTCGGTAACCGGGGCCCTGGTCTACGGTCCCGTTAAGGTTTTGGATGCCGAGTTAAAGATAGCGCCCGCTGAAGCGCGTTCGTGCCAAGACAGTGGAACGCCCTTTTTCAACGGATATTGTCTGTGTGTTCCCGTTGCGCTTGGCGGCTTTGGTGATGTGCGGCGCGCGCGTGTGTGTCTCTAGTATTTTGCCGATGGGAAATTAGGTACACCAGCCCACTGTAGGGGGAAAAACAAACTGGATGAAAGAATGATTTGTCGGATGAGGCTCGTGCTCTGCAGATGATGAGGCGTCTAGGGATATAGTGTCTGTATGTGCATGCGAAGGGTGTGGGTGCAAAATACGTACAAGAGAGCAACGAAGGGACGTTGGGAATTGTGAGCCACCGACGGGAAGATGACGATTTGTGACAGTGAGCGGGGGGGGGAAATACTGTCTGAGCGCTTGCATCTGGTGTGTGGCGTTCGGTGTGTCCCCGCTAATTTTCTCGATTCGGTGAGTCGGTGTGCACCGGGTTTTTTTTTCTTGTTTCTTTTTTCTCACTTTCGTTGGTGTGTGGGGGTAGGAATTCAAAGACTTGAGAAATGTCTTTCGGGAAAGAGGGAGGCGGGGCCCCGCTCCGACTCGGTGTGAGCCGAGTCCGGTAGCTCCGGGCTGGGGGGGGGACACAAACCGGGCCCGTGTTGACCTGGCCGGCCCACCCCCACTCAATTGGGGCAGCTGAGCCGATGAGGCTTTCAGGGAATGTAAGGACCGCCTAGGTCTTAACCGTATGCAGGCACCGTATCCTCAATCTTCTCGATAGCCATTGCTGCGGCCGCGGCCGCCGACTGGGCCGCAGAGAAAAGGTTGGTGAAGACATTTCATCGATCCCGCGAAGGCTGCAGGCTGCAATTGCATGAACGCTGTAAGAGCGAACAAGGACCGTCTGGCACAGACGCATGCGCATATATCGGATATACTACAAACTTGCACCATGCGGCTTTCCGTCGAGGAAATTCAGTAAGGGATCGAGATGAAGCGATTGTGCGAGCACCTTGTGCCTTCATTCTCTCAAAGAACGTTACGGCCTATGGGTACCTGCAGGTTACGGCGCGGCACGGTATTAAGCGCTGGACTCGAACGGGGATTCGTCCCGGGATTAATTGCACATTGAAAGGGGGCCACCCTTGTCCCGGATCGGTCTACTCCGAAGCCTTTCGCGGTTGGGAGGCTGATTGAACGCTCTCATGAACTATTTTCGAAACGAGCGGGAAATGCCCCTGAAACCAGTTTCCTGTCGTTCGTTGATGATCTAATGTTACATCCATAACGTGCGAACCGATCATGTTCGATCCATGGTGTTTGCTCTCTATTCCGCCACGGGGGGCGTAAGATACTGGTAGTGAGGGAGAGAGGGAAGGGGGGGAGGGGTGTACCAAAGTTTTGAAGGAGCAAACAAATTGTCAAGGAGGCGTGCAAGGCTTAGACGGGAAAAAGACGAGACAAGAGGACCAGAGACCGTCACATTCCAGACCGGGGCTTCAAACGCATTTGGAATTCCCGAAGAAGCGGTACGAACGGATGGAGATCATCCTTGAGTGATTTCTCGCGTGATTGACGTCAGGGATTCCGAGCCTTCCCCTCGGTTCGAATTGCCTGCTAAAAGGGGCAACATCGACAGTTGTTGCTCTTTTCATTTTCCAATAATGTAACAGGATATCGTACTAGGCTCTGAGAAGAGGGGTCTCTACTGAGAGAGCAAGATGGGAGATACCACCAATGTTTGCTAGACTTTACGCACTACGGCTCTTTGCTTGCTTTGAGCCACCACATGTTATATTGAATACGGCCTTACGTGCGAGTATCTCCCAGGCTTCAGCCCATCGCCCCCTTTTCCATAGGGTAAATGTTGGTGATGTCACATTCAGGTGGTACCGCTCGGAGCCCCTGTGCCCTTGAGGATTTTAATCTCCGATCCGGCAGGGAAAGACATTCAAGGGTTCGGAGGGAACTCAGGAAAGGGAGGAGGGGGCGTTGCTGCAGCCTGCAGTCATTTGTAGTCACCGTTTGTGCAAGTTTGCTTAACTTCGTACGGATATCCGTACATCTCTTAACTTTCTTAGCGTGCCAATTCGTGGCGTGGGCCTTGCGGAGATATTTCTAGCCTTCGACTTTTTCTTCGTGGCCACGTGTGGGAATCAAAAATTGCGTGACACTAGGGATGATCACACTCGTGTCTGATAGACACGGCGATCGAGGGGCTTAGGTACTTTGGTAACAATGTTTGCCAGCTGAAGACATGTTCATTGCCGCGTGGGATTTAACTTTTCAGTACCCGGTTCACGTTTAAACAGGGAGACAAACAAGGAATGCGTGTGGCGGGGTGTGAGTAGAGCAGGGAAACAATCTGTTCCCAGGTTTGCGCCACAATTTTGTAGCTTCACAGATTGAGGTGAAAGACATTGACATTGACGTACGACGGTCGCGGACCGTAAAAAGGCTTGTTTCTTCTTGTTAGACTTCACACCTACGGCCTAGTCCCGCCCCGGGCCTATCTGGCGGCCCCGCGGTCCCGGGCCTCCCGAAAGCGGGACCGCGCCTTGATTTGAGATTCAAGATTTATTCATTATCTATCCGTACAAGCGGACTTACAACACCACATCTTCAACCGATGCAACTTCATCTCTCAAGCGTTACCCAGGTTCAATGGGCTCTGGGCGTCGAACTTGTGGGTGGTGATGAGCTCGGGGTACTGGATGCCACCCTGCTTGATAACGCTGTCCATTGTCTCCATGATGACCAGAGACTCTGAGAGCGGCAGCGTTGCACTCTCTTTCTTGCCGTCGCGCAGGCAGCGTGCGCACTCATCAGCCTCCCAGAACATGCCGTGACCCCAGTCGCGCGCCTCGTCCTTGGGGATGGGGCAGTCGACAACCTCGACCTCTTCGACGCCCTTCTTGACGACCTTGTACGACGTCGGCCGGAAGGCGGGATGGGAGACCTGGATCTCGCCCTTGGAGCCTTGGATGCGGATCGCGGGTGCCGTCTCACCCTTGTGGCCGTCGGGTGCCGTGTCGACGCGCAGCGAGGTGGTGGCAATGCCGGTCATCTGGTGCTTGGGGAAGTTGAGAATCATGGTGGTGGACTCGTCGGCGCCGGTGACGGGGTACTTTTGCACCGAGGCCAGGACCTCGGGGCTTTCCTTGTCGGCCTCAGCTTCGGGCTGCAGGTGGTACAACGTCTGGAAGATCCATGTCAGGGAGTAAATACCGAGGTCGAGCAGGGCACCGCCAGCGAGCTCGGGGTTAACCATGCGGTGGGCGTCGGGGAAGGACAGCTTGCCGGAAGCGTCTTCGGCGTTGCTGTTGAAGGACAGGTCCGAGGTGGCACGGTAGACCTTGCCGATGGCGCCCGAGGAGATGAGCTCGCGGATCTTGATGCTGAGGGGGAAGTAGCGGGTCCAGACGGCCTCCATGAAGAAGAGCTTCTTGGCGCGGGCCGTCTCAACGAGGACGCGGGTCTGCTCGGCTGTGACGGTCAGGGCCTTTTCGCAGAGCACGTTCTTGCCGGCCTCGAGGGCAAGCATGGCGTTTTGGAAGTGATGGGAGTGCGGGGTGGCGACGTAGATGATGTCGACGGCCGGGTCGCGGACGAGCTCGGCGTAAGAGCCGTAGACTGTTGTGTCGGCGGGGGCGTCAATCTTCTTGACAAAGGCGCGGGCCTTTTCGGCGTCGCGGGAGGAGGAGACGGCGGCGATACGGTGGGCGACGTCAGTCACCTCGCGCGAGGCCGGGTTGGTCAGGAGGTCCTTGCAGAAAGCTAGAGAGACGGCATTGTTAGTTATTGCTCGGGGGCAGAGATGCTCGGTTCTATCGGTGGAAGCATACTCTCGGCGATCCAGCCCGTGGCCATGATGCCCCAGTTGACAGTGTGCGGCGCCATTTTGGGAGGTGAATGTGATTGATTATTGGTGTGTAGCGTGGCTTTGGGTTCTACTGCAGAGAGTTGATGGGGTCTCGACGAGGGAATTGGATCCCTGGGTATATAAAGAAGATCGAGACTGAAGAAAGAGGTAGAGGAAGAGCAGACAGGTCAACGAGGTGCGAATCGGCGAGGTTGCCTTTCCCTTTTCTATCCCGCGCAACCATCCCAACACGCGGTGCGGGCCCTCCGCCCCCCAAATCCTCGGAGGTAGTTGCTGCGGGGTACGAGAATAGCAAAAAAAAGGGAGGGGCCAATTGTCAAACATGAAAGCCACTCAAGCTAAATCCAACATGCGACGAATCGTCGATGCACATCACGACCACAGAGGCAACACCAAACCACATCAGCACTCATACTATGACATGGGGCATTGCTACAAACGTTCTATGTCATCTACTCGGCCGCCTTTCCCAGGAGGACGCAGTCCAATACTGACAAATCAGCTTCGGAGTCAATTCGCTTCGCCAGCGGTCAGATCATCATAGTATTAACAACCGCGGATTACAAACACGCCTAGAAGCTCCAATGTTCGAATGGTGACGGTGAATGACTTGGATATCAGCAAAAGCCGCCAAATACGAGAGCGAAGATTCAAAGACGCGATTTGGTTTCCGTCCTCCCGTCCCTCGCCCCCCTTCTCCCGGTTAAATTGACTTCGGGATCTGGTGTGAGAATGGGTTCCTTTACGCCGATACTCCGCGATGACACATGGACTTGCAAAGAGCTGTCCGGGGTCAAGTCAAGACCGGCATCCGTATTGGCGCAACGCAAACTATCTGACCCGACCTTACGGCCCCACCAACTTTTCGACTCCTAGAGTTTCCTCTTTGGGCCGGTTTGGAGATAAATGAGCTGGGGACATTTCCTGTGAGGTGAACGACGGATGGCGGGGTCGGTGTTGTTACCCCGCGGCGGAGCCCTCGTTTGCTTATCAGCGATAAGACGTCATAGATGACACGGGAGGGAAGCTACCTTACCTAGGTACCTTGAGATCTGTTGATATAACTGCAGCCTGCTGACAATGTGAAGCCATTCGGAATACACAGAGTATTCAGATCAGTACGCCTCAGGTTCTCTCTTCCTTTGGGCTATAGGCCAATTCACCTCGGAAATTCTTAACAGCAATAAAGGGATAGTTGCCTAGAAGCCTGTGTCAGTAATAGTCTAAGCCTGTTCAGCAAATTAACTGGGCTGTAGTTTGTGGATTCGAATCCCACAAGCGCCCTATCTCTTTTTCTATTTCTGCTTGCCCTTTTCTTGGTTGATATCAATGATCCAATTGCTGGTCGATTCGTTATTGATATCACCACACCGAGTACCACTGGGGTTTCTGTTTCAATTATGATGCATGCCGCTTTGAGCCCTTTCTGATTGACGACCTTACTCACCACTTCACCTGCCTGTGCATACATTCTGCGACAACCCCACGTCGCTACCACCTTCTCCGACCACATCACCATCCGTTCGGCATAGATGAACTCATCCTCCTCTCACCCATCTCCTTATACCTGAACCTCAAGCATCAATTTCACCCGTACATCACCGTAAACAAAAGACACCATTCAAAAAATGCCACAAACAATCGCCCCAATCCCCCGCCTAATCTACGGCACAGCCTGGAAGAAATCCCAAACCGCACCCCTCGTCGCCTCCGCCCTCGCCGCCGGCTTCCGCGCCCTCGACACCGCCGCATCCCACCACTACTCGGAGGAAGGCGTCGGCGTCGGCCTCCGCAACTTTCTCTCCCAAGCCCCGACACCAGCTGCCCACGGAATCACCCGCGCCGGCCTCTACCTCCAGACCAAATTCTCCCCCTCGCCATCAGACCTGCCCATCCCAGAGCAAGTCCACAAGTCCATCGCCTCGTCCCTCAAGAACCTCGCCGTCGACAACAACCTCTTTGCGCCGTCACCTACTGGCTCTCCAGAGGAGCAGAAGAAGGAAAGTGACGAAGAAGACTTCTACCTAGACTGCGTCCTCCTTCACGCCCCCTACCCCTCCTACACCGACACCCTCCTCGCCTGGCGCGCCCTAGAAACCCACGTCCCCTCCCGCATCCGTACCCTCGGCATCTCCAACGTCGACCTGCCAGACCTCCAGCGCCTCTGCGACGAGGACGCCCGCGTGAAGCCCGTCGTCGTGCAGAACCGCTTGAACCCGGATGAGGGTTACAACACCCCCGTCCGCGTCTTCTGCCGCGAAAGGGACATCAATTTCCAATCATTTTGGACGCTGACTGCGAATCCGCGGCTGGTGAGGAGTCCGTTTGTCAGGCAGGTTGCCAAAGGGGCGGGCGTGAGCGATGAGGTTGCGTTTTATGGGTTGGTGCTGGGGTTGAGGGGGGTGAGTGTGCTGGATGGGACTACGAATGAGGTGAGGATGAAGGAGGACCTCGAGGGTGTCGAAGAGGTGATGGCTTGGGTGGAGGGGGGTGGTGATGGGGTGTGGCGGGAGAGTCTGGCGGCGTTGAAAGCTTTGCTTGGTGATTCTTGAGGCACTCTTGGAAGAGGGCGGACACGTGTGATGAAAGCATGGTATCCTAAAAGGGACATGGCAGTAAGTAAGTCTATTCGAGCGGAGAAAGTCTTGGACTCCGCGAACTATTCATGAAACGCCCAAGAATGCAGTCTGTCCTGGGTATTTTCTCGATCCTCTGCCATCCCTCTCTCGCCGCCAAAGCCTCGGAATGGCTCTCGTGCAGGAACACCGTCTCATCCCCCCCCCTCTCTCTCTTAATGCCTCAACCTAGTCCAGGAAATCATCCTGGCAGAAACAAGACTCGCTGTGGTATCTTAAATCCCAATAAAGAAAAGCACGAGCCGAAATGGTCATCGTGTTGTCGTCCTCTGCGGCCTCATCCTCGTATCCTATCAACCTCATCATTATAGAAAGAAACCTCTGCCCCCATGCAAAATCATTAGTCGTCCGTATTGTATTCTTGGTCATCCACCAAGACCACCACTGTCAAAGTTGCTGCGTATGCCTCGCGAATAGCACAAGCCATGCTTAACAATGTTAGCAAAGGTTGGTCGAACGTTGAAAGGTAACTGGACAACTCACCATGTCTTGCGGATATCAGCAATTACGGCACTCAGTCCCCAGTGTGAACACCAGGCCCGTGCCAAGACCTCGTTGTCCCTCACGCCAAAGGCCTCCACCACCAACACCTGCTCCTCGTCGACTTGATCCTGGCTGCTTGCTGTGTGTGGGCCTGCTGTCGAGCTTGTCCTCGAACTACGAGCACTTGGAGACTGTCCATACAGCCCACCCCAGTCTTTGATGTTCATAATCTCGTCCGCCTTGACGGTCTGGAAGACGTAGTCGAAGAACAGCGGATGAGGGCCGCCCGAACATGGCCAAGCCGAGATAAAGGACACATCGTACGTGAGACGCATAGGCCAGGACACCCCATCCACCGCGAACTGCACCGTTGCGTCGAAAACCCTCGGTGCTGGCGGAGGTTCCTGGAAACGGTCCTGGACAGCCTTGAAGCTGAGCAGCTCGATTCGGACAGTATCAACAATGTCGTCTGCGTCGGGAGCTACGAGCTTGTATTCTTTGACCGGAAATACCTCGGCCGGGGGGCCCAGAGGGTCAGATCGTTCGCTCATCGATTGTACGTCTTCGGGAGTCATGCGCTGTCGAGGGCGCCGGGAGCGCACGCGAGCGATTTGAGATCGGCCAAGATCGGCGGTCGGACGGGCTGGCCCGACCCAGCCTGCCAACGATCGACAGGTCGGGGCTAGGACTTTTCCGACGATCGAAGCAGCAGTCCAGTAGGTGTAACTATTCCTATATTGAAACCCGCAGTGAGGATGGAGGTGCGTCATCATGGCCAAGGAGTCGGTTGCCTTGTCAGGATCAATATCGATGAGGGTGTTCATGATGAGGAATGGGAACGTTGTCTTTGCCTATTAGCAGGTGTGCAAGGAATATGTCAGTAGTGTGACAGAACTTACGCCTGGCAGTACAAGACCGCTGAAGAATGCCAATGCGTCGGAGCTGATAATGTCCAGCGTTGCGTCCATGTCCCTCTGCTTCATCTTGTCGAGAGTGTGGCCCAAGTTTGGCCATTTCATCATTTGTGCAAAACGCCGTAGCATCTTGATTTGGCGCTTCTTCAGCCTGAAGCGTAGGTTGACTGTTGCAAATTAGCTCTGGCTAAGGAGACCGGATGTGAATGGTAGCTTACTGTCTTCCACTGACTTTCCATACCCCTCAACCCTCACATGTTCCCGCCAGCGTCTGGCAAGCGCAAGATCCCACTGGATGGTGGGCGGTAGTTGAGGCAGTAGTTTCTCCTTCGCCCACTCCCCGTGCAATCTCGAATTGATCCTCAAATCTAGTTCCATACTGAGGACGAGTTGGTGGCAAAACTTGATATACTGCTGTTGGCTTCCGTGGCTCGGGTCGAAGATGAAGCGAGTGACGACTTGGTTCTTTGGGTTCGTAAAGTCGATCCAGTCCGGACGTGACAACACCATGATCAGATCCGTAATCTGCTTATCGAGTCCTTTGTGCGGGCTCATCATTTTGTCGGGGTCGCGGAGGAAGCGGCGATATAAGCTTTTGTACATCCATTCTTCGTCATCATCATCCAATCCCACCTCCAGCTCCTTCAGACGCTCAAAGATACGATCCAAGCCGACCTCTCGTGCCGTCACGCCCGAGTCTCTCAAGCCGATGGTCGGAGGCTTGATGCTGGCCAGACAAGCCCATTGGTTCAAGGTGATGGTGCCGGGCTGTTGACCGTAAAAGAAGGCAAAGCTCGGCTGTTCCAAGGACTCCCATGGGTATATCGCTGAACCCCCACCTTGCATTCGGAGGGTCATCAGTTGGGTCATGTGGTCGTGCAAATTTACGATATCCGTCTCTTCGGCATCATTTCCTGCGGATGTTGTGTAGAGGGCGTAGTAATGATCGGATGCATGAGGTACAGGACGCTTGTGGCCCTTGTG